TATGGTTCATGGGGTCACGAAGAATCGGACAAGACTTAATGACTGAACAAAAACAACAATGTGTGAAAGACCTTGGGAGACTGGGCCAAGAGACACTGCCCAGGGAATGGTCTGATAAGAGATAGCATAGCCTGCAGCTGGATGTGGGTGGGGCAAGAGGCTCAGAAAAGACCCTCCCTAGTTGCTCAGGCTATAAAGGAGACAGGGGGAGATTTCTACTTTCAAACTTGTGAGATTCTGTTAAGGTAGCTTTACAATAAAGTAGAATTAGATCATCTGGTTGTGTTTCCTGTCTGGACTACCTAGTAAGCCTGACATCAATTTTGCAAGGAAAGATCATTACCCATTACTGGGCTGAAACTTGTGTTTTCTTTTGTTTTTTCAATGAACAGAAAAGGTAAGGGGTATCCTTCATTCTCCCTTGCTTCTAAATCCCTGACAGAAAGGAGGAATTTGCAGTGAATTCCAGTGAAAGCGACTCCAACATTCACCCTAAGCTGTCCCAGTTGAAATGAGGGTAGAAATTGTCCTAATTTATCTGGTGAGATAGAATGGAGGGTGGTCCTATTATAAAAATGTAACAGGGCAATATCACTGGAATGATGACAGCATAATGACAGAGTTGCTAGAAATTATATTCATATACAATGTTTTATTTCTTCTACTTTTTTTTTTTACAGGTATAAAACTGTGTTTTGATGTATCAGGTTGCATAGAAGGCAAGCAAACAAACTGTATTGAGATTCTGAAGAAAGGCGAGTTAGTAGGAATAGCCCCTGGTGGAGTGAGAGAAATGAATTTTAGTGATGAAAACTACAATCTGGAGTGGGGTACCCGTACGGGATTTGCTCAAGTGGCTTTAAAAAGCAAAGTGGTAAGTGGTCATGCCAAGGATCATGCACAAAGAGCAGACACGTAAATGCACGTTACTGATTATGTGGAGTAGTGTACTCTCAGGTGCTCTGCATGAGGCTGCCCATGATGACCACTTGGAGGCCAAAGAATGGGGCTAAACAAGCACCTTGACATACCACTGTCACCCCTCTGTTTGGGAGCTGCACAGGGGCTTCTGGGTGCAACTCAAGGTCCTTCTTGTCCCTATAAAGCCCTAGATGGGTTAGGACTTGGTTATTTAAAGAATTGCCCTTCTGCAGTTATCGCTGCCTGTCCTTTAAGGTCAAAACAGTGATTAAACACTGCCACCTTGTGGGATCCCAGAGCCATGCTCTCTCTGTTGCCCTCTGGAATACTATCCCCTGGCCCAGCCTTACCATCCTTTAGAAAAGCTGTAAAAACCTGGCTTTTCAAGCAGTCCAGGATCCAAGGTGCTTTGGATCCCAACCCATGGAAAATGGTTGATTAGTATTTTTCTTCCCAGTATTTCTCTATGGAGTTGTAATTGTTTTAATGCTGTTTCAACACTACAGTTGTGTGTTGTTTTTTTTTAATCTGCGCTCAGTCCTTACCGACTCTGCAGTGACTGTTTGGACGAGTCCTTGCAGTTTTGAAGGCAAGGTGTTTCGGAAGTGGTTTGCCAGTGCCTCCTTTCTAGAGCAGAGCCCAGCTGGCGAGCGCAGGAGGCGGGGTTTCCGTTGCTTTGCTCCCTTTTCAGGCGAGCACGGTTTCACGCTTACCAGCAACTGCTCCCGACTCCCATTGCAAGGCGCCGCCAGCATTTTTCCTCCCACTGGAGTGAGAGTTCCCATTTATCTACTCATGTGAGTTT